CACGTAGAGGGATTCAGTAATAATCTCCATAGAACCTTAGCGTATACAAAGTAATTTCTTATGAATCACATTTCATTGGCATAATGTTGGGTGAGGAATAATCATGTAAGTATACAGATCAGAAAGCTAAATGAAAATGGTTGAGGTTATACAGTTAGGAAACAGCAGGGTTGGACAACATCCTGAATGTTATGATATCAAGTCCTGTGCTCTTCCTGCTATCAACCTACCACTCAGGCCTGAACGGAAGCAGAATTAAAATTTAAGATACTTCAATGTAACTATCCTATATTTTTACATACACGCTCCCAATACAGTCTCTAAACTAGTTGGAATAAATTGTATTTTTTCCAGATTTTTGCTTTCTTCCACGGCAAGCAAAATGGTGAAAGTTTAGCCAGATGATTTTTTTTTTTTTTTGACAGGCAGAGTGGACAGTGAGAGAGAGAGACAGAGAGAAAGGTCTTCCTTTTGCCCTTGGTTCACCCTCCAATGGCCACCGCACTGCTGCTGGCGCACTGCGCTGATCTGAAGGCAGGAGCCAGGTGCTTTTCCTGGTCTCCCATGGGGTGCAGGGCCCAAGTACTGGGGCCATCTTCCACTGCACTCCCGGGCCATAGCAGAGAGCTGGCCTGGAAAAGGGGCAACCGGGACAGAATCCGGCGCCCCAACCAGGACTAGAACCCGGTATGCCAGCACCGCTAGGTGGAGGATTAACCTAGTGAGCCGCGGCGCCGGATTTTCTTTTTTTAAAAAAAAAGTATTTATGTCCCATTTTAAGAATGCATATCCATCTATAATATTAACCTTCAAACTAAGATACTATAAATTTGAGAGATTTGATAGTAGACTTTTCAATGGCTAAAAAAAATGGTAAAAAGAGGTCAGAGCCGACGGTCACTTTACTTATTCTTCACCTCGCCGTGCCCTGCTACCGGGTTCGATTCCCGGTCGGGCGCCGGATTCTGTCCCAGTTGCCCCTCTTCCAGGCCAGCTCTCTGCTGTGGCCAGGAAGTGCAGTGGAGGATGGCCCAAGTCCTTGGGCCCTGCACCCCATGGGAGACCAGGAGAAGCATCTGGCTCCTGCCATCGGATCAGCGCGGTGCGCCAGCCGCAGTGCGGCGGCCATTGGAGGGTGAACCAACGACAAAAGGAAGACCTTTCTGTCTCTGTCTCTCACTGTCCACTCTGTCTGTAAAAAAAAAATGGTAAAAAGAAATTTTGACAGATGACTTTCTTGATCTCAAGTTAACAGAGGAGGCTCCTCTTCACTGGAGTTAAGCACATTTGGAAGCACCCTTCTCTATTTCCTAATCTCGCCTGGCCTCTCCTACCCGCTTAATCCCTTCCCTTCACCAACAGCTGTGGCAAACCGAGGAAGCAGGCACAAAGGAATCTAATTTTGATGCCACAAGACCTTACTGGAAGGAGATCCTAATCATGAGAAAGACTTAGATGATGACACAGGTGACGAAGTTTGAGGACTTAAACATTCCCAGAAGGGCGCTCACCCTCCTGCTCCTGGAGCTGGATTCATTCTGACATCAGCACTTTTTGAGCGCACCCACTGCCAGGCACCGGGGATCTATGGGCGCATGAGACATAGCTCCTGCTCTCGAAGGACCCAGGCTGATCTACACACAGCATCACAGGAAGTTAACGCAATAACCATAGATTGTGGAAACACATGTTCATAGCAGTGCCACCTACCTAATCTAGTTTAGACGGCAGAGAGGGAAGTCTAGAAGAAAGTGACAACTAGGTAGAGATCTGAAGAACAATCAAAATTTAGCCAGGAAGAAAGGGAGGGACTGGTGGTGGTGGCTAAATGAAGGTGCAGAGTGTTCAGCAGAACTGCAGTGTGGCTGCAGCACCAGCACTGTGGGCGCAGGTCCCTCGCCACGGGGACAGCAGGAAGCAAGACCCAAGACTTGTGCAGGGCTCACATTAGCAGCTGGCAGAGGCAAGCACTAGCGACAGCTCAGCACAATAGCTGCTACCCTAGGGCACCTAATTTAGAGGATGAATCTGTATCCTCCTAACATACTATCCACCAGACTCAGCAACAAGGCTTAAAAAACCCTGCAGCGGGGAGCAGGCACTTGGCCTAGCAAAGATACCCCCTTCTCACATCAAGAGCTCCTGGGTTCCACCCCCAGCCCTCGCTTCCTGCCAGTGTAGACCCTGGGAGGCAGTGGTGATGGCTCAAGTAATCCGGTTCCTGTCACCCACGGAGAAGACCTGGCTTGAGTCCATGGCTCCCAGCTGCAGGCATGTGGGAGTGAAACAGCACCTGCCAGAGCTTGCTCACCCTCTTGCAGATAAAAAACAAACCCTCCAGCATACAGCCCCAGCTTAGTGCTCCATACTTCTTTCTCCTGCCTAGCGCTCCAACTTCTTCCATGGAATTCTTCTCCCCCTCCTGCCCATTTCTGTTCCTTTCTCTTCCATTTCCTCAGGCCTTGTAGGCCAAGTTGATTGAGCTGACTTTATCCTAGGAACAACCATAGATAGGGCTTTTAAGCTCTGTAGTGAAATGCTAGATTTGCATTCCAGAAAGATCCTTGTGGTTGCCGTGTGGAGAACGAAGGCATGGTTGGAACAAAACCAGACTCTGGGAGACCCGTTAGGAAGCTGCTGCTACTGCAGCAACCCAGGCAAGAAATGTCACAGTCTAAGGGAAAAGCAGTGGGAGAAGAGTCAAGATGTTGGAGAGAGAGAGAACCGATTCAGTGTGGTGGACAAAAGAGCTATAGGAAGCAAGAATGTTTCAATCTCTGTTTATTGCCCAGTCATGAAATAGGACAGCAATGGCAATGGTAGACTCAACCATCAGGACACATGCTCAAAGTGCCAAAATGCTGTCAATTATTAGATGAGTTCAGAAGAGACTGAGGAGGACTGAGAATGGCTCATGGAATTGAAATTTATAAGTTATCAAAAGCATAGAATTTCCAGAGGAAAGAACTTTACCAGGCAATCATCAAACACTTGAAACATGATGACTCCAAACTGAGATGTGATTTATGTATAAACTACACACCACACTCAACGTGGAAAAAAAAAAGGATGCAAAATACCTCAATGAATTTTTTCTATAAATCACATGTTGAAATGTTCATATTTGGGATATCCTGGGTTAACTAAAAGTCATTAAAACTCATTTTACCAAATTTATAAAAAACTTCAGAAAGAGGGCTGTTAAAAAACAAATTTATGTATATGGTTCACTTTATATTTCTTTTAGCCAGCATTGTTCTAGAACAACAACAATAACAAAAAAGAAAAAATAAAATGTGACCTCTGTGAATTAAACTCACTGGAATGTAGGGTAAGGATTCCTACCAAGACAAATTAGGGTGGAAGAGGTAGGAAGGACAGCTTCACGCAGGGTTCCAATCACAGGAACTTAGGAACAGGCTGCAACAGCTCCAGGGAAGCCACTGAACATTTTTCTGAGCAAGAAGGGCCTTCATTCTGGGAAAGCTAACCTGCCACTGGTATCCAAGATGTAAGTGCTGGAACAAAACCTTGAGAGGTCCCACCAGGTTCAGGCACCCTGACTGCAGGAAAAACTGGCCAGCCCTTGGTTTTATGGAGCGGTTGCGCAATTATCAAAATGCTGTAACTTTGCAGAAGAGTTCAGAAGAGGCTGATGAGGACTAAGGATGGCTGAAGGAATCGGCTCTTCCCGGTGAGTTTACAACGCTCTTTTTACGATGGCTCACTCCCCAGCTGGCCGCAACCGCCAAGCCAGGAGCCCTATCCAGGCCTCCCACGTGGGCGCAGGGGCCCAGTCCCTCGGGCCATCCTCTGCTGCTTTCCCGGGCCAGGACTCGAACCTTCGCCATCACGCCGGCCCCAGCTTACAACTCTCTGATCTAAATCCAGTTTGTCTCCTACGTGCAAAAAGAATGTACTGGCGGATGACACAGGCCATCTGGTTCACTGCGTATTTGTAGGAAACATCGTATCACGTCCGATTTCACTTCCACGGCAAGAACCATCGTTCCAGTCGACCTGAGCGCAAAGGTTACCGCTACGACGTAAATGCGGTAAATGCAAAATGAAGCTAGCAACCCTTTTTTTTTTGTTTTTGCCTGCAGGTTTTGGAACTCAGCAAAGCCATCAAAGACTGTTTTAAAAAGTAAAAAAAAAGGCCAAACTGCACAAAACCTGGCCAGATTTTCAGTTTAATCAAGAACCTGGAACAACCAAGACTCTAGGGTTTGAAGTCAGCACCAGAATTTCAAGCAGTTGCTTTGCAATAGCTATTCATGACCAGAGCGCTTCCGACCGCCTTTTGTCCCAGGGACCCGCCCCACGCTCGCCCCTCGCCACCGCGTCCCGCGCTCCGGGCGCTCGGGCCACGTGCGCGTCCGCCCAGAGCCCGGCCGCCTCAGCCGCCTCGGCCACCTCAGCCGCCGGGCCGGCCCCGGGCGCCCGCCACTCACCCTCGGCCGTCGCCATTATCCCGAGTGGACCAAGGGCCGCACAAATCTGGAAAAGAGGCCGAGAGGCGCAGCGCGCGGGCCGCGGAGGCGGGGCTCTCGCAGAGTCGGCGGCCGCCGCGCAGCTCGGCCGACCGCGATCTACGTGCGAATGCACGCGGCAGGGTCTCTGCCCGGGGCTTCCCGCCGCGCAGGCGCGCCGGCGCGACCCCGCCCCCGGGCGGCGTTCCCGGGGAGCCGGAAAGTGGCGCGCGCTGGCGGCCCCTCCCCGCTCCGCGCCGACCGCAGGCTGGGGCCCCTCGGAGCCGGAGGAAGCCGGTCAGGGCTTGGAGCGTACCAAGTCGTCCCGGCCGGGGGAAGGCACGTGCGGAGGGGCGCGCGACGTGTGCCTCTTGGGCGAGGGCCAGGATGCTAACCCCCGTTATTCTCGTCACCCCAGCATTGAGGACTAGAGAGTAACGGAGATTTCCACGTGCGGGAGAGTATACTGTCCGGGCGTCTCCGGGGGTGGGGGAGGAGTAGCTCCACCCCTACTGTATGCGGGACTCCTCCCCTCGGCCGCGGAGCCTCGCTCTCTGCCCTCACTCATTGGCGGGCCCTGTGGGGGGCGGGACGCGGGGGCTGCGGCCCCGCCCACGGAGGGGGCGGGGACAGCACGCGCCGCCGCAGTAGCGAGCAGACGCTCGGTGCTGGGGAGGAAGCCGCTGTCTCCGGCGCGGTCTTCTGAGGCGTTGGTTTCAAGGCTGCAGCTGGTTGGTGCGCCGACCCGGGCCGCGGCTGCAGCTTCCTCCACGTGCTTTCGGCGGCGACATGGAGCTGGAAGAGTTAGGAATCCGAGAGGAATGTGGCGTGTTCGGGTGCATCGCCTCAGGAGAGTGGCCCACGCAGCTGGATGTGCCGCATGTGATCACGCTGGGACTCGTGGGGCTGCAGCACCGGTGAGCCGCGCGGGGAGGGCGGGGGTGGCGGTGCCTCTCGCGAGCGCTCGAGGGCCCGGAGCCCTGGCCTCCGTTACCTGGACGTGCACCTGCCCGTGGCACGCCCCGGGACGTTAACGCACACAGTCCCGTGCCTCTTGCCTTTTGGGGCCCTCACTCCCCTCCGAGTCCCGCCAGCTTCTGAGGTTCCGCTAGGCTCGTCCCCGACTGCCTGCGGGTTCTGGCGCCCCCCGAACGTGGGGCTGCTCGCGGGGTAGGCTCGTGCCGGGAGGTGCCCGGACCCGGTCCGACGACCAGCACAAGCTTTTGTTTCCAGGACACAGCCCTGGAGCCGGTGGTGGGTTTGAGAGTAGTCACAGCAGTGGGAACTGGAGGGGAGGAGGGGGTCCCGGCGTCCGGATCCGGGAGACTTGGAGTAACCTGTGGAGGGGACGCACGAGCGAGCTAGGGAGATGCCAAAATGAGCTTCCCTGGAAAGGGGGAGTGAGGAGTGGGGCTGGTGCTCCCGCGTCAGGACGAGCCACATGGAAATCGGAAAGCTGGGAGAGCCCCTCCAGTTAAGACCCAACTTCGCCTCCGTGACCCTTACGTTCCTTCTGACTTAGCTGCGAGCTGATGGAAGTAACCCGACTTGGGTAAGAAAAGGAGCAGCGACTTCTAGAACAGTGCGGGAGCTTGGCCGGAGCACTATCGCCAGTGTGGATGCAGCGTGTAAATAAATGCATTCGAAAGATTAGCCTCGCTCGCCCCGTTTCCCTTGGAAACAGTATGCTGTTTTCATAGTCCCAAATACTTGAATTTGATTTTCACGTTTTCTGTGTTCACTGTTCACTAAGGAGTCGAGAGTAACTCACAATCTGGAATGGACCATAAAGAATATTTCTAAGTTGAGTAAGTCTAAGCTTTGATAACTGTGAGTTGACTATAATAGAGTCAATGTTTTGAAAGTCATATATTGAGGGGACTAGATAGGTAATCCAAGGAGAAATTAAAATCAGTACGTGTCAGTGTGAGCAGTTTGTCGTATCCTTGGGAGAGGTTGCTTTGAATATTCTGTCTTGCACAGAATCTAGGGATCTTTAGAGTTGCCTGGGGGTCTGTGATAGGTAACTGAACTGACTTTACATTTTTTAGAAAAAACTGCTTCAGCCAGAATTACTTACCCTCTCTCCCCCACCCTTTAAATACCTGCCTGAAGAAAAGAGAGCTGATTTTTTTTCCTCTCCCTCGCCTTCCCTCCCCTTCCCTCCCCTCCCCTCTCCCCCTCCCTCCCCTCCCCTCCCCTCTCCCCCTCCCTCCCCTCCCCTCCCCTCTCCCCCCTCTCCCCCCTCTCCCCCCTCCCCTCCCCTCTCCCCCTCCCTCCCCTCCCCTCCCCTCTCCCCCTCCCTCCCTCCCCTCCTCCCCTCCCCTCCCCTCCCCTTCTTCCCTCCCTCCATTCCTTCCTTCCTTCCTTCCTTCCTTCCTTCCTTCCTTCCTTCCTTCCTTCCTTCCTTCCTTCCTTCCTTCTCTTTATTTAAAAGCCAGAGTTAACAGTTAGAGGTCTTCCATCTGCTGGTTCACTCCCCAAGTGGCCACAGCTGGTCAGGGCTGAGCCAGGTTGAAATCGGGAGCTTCTTCTGGGTCTCCCGCGTGGCTGGCAGGTGCCTCGGCACTTGGGCCATCTTCCACATCCTTTTCCCCAGCAATTAGCAGGGAGCTGGATGGGAAGTGGAGCAGCCAGGACTGGAACTGCCACCCACCCAAGTGGGATGCTGGTGGCTTTACACCCTACAAATGCTGGCCCCAAATTTGGTTTCTAGATTAGATATTGATGCTAACTGGAATTCTAGTAATTAATGTAGGAAAATCTATATATCTTTTAATGAATTCATCTGGATTCCTGGCTACACATACATGTACCTGTGAAAGTAGATAACACAAGATAAAGGAGAGGCAAGACACTTGTGATCGGTGGTAGTAAACCAGTGTTGAATGGATTCCAGGAGGGTGCTCCTTTGACTAAATGAGTTTTTGTTAGGAGGCCTTCACTATGGCAGGAAACTCAGTAGCTTGTAGAGAACAAACATATTATTGGGGAGTGATTTAACATCGTCCTTGTGTAGGCCTGCAGTCATTAGCATGAGATCCTTCCCCAGAAGGCTTTCTTCTACCCAGTCAGAAGTTGCAGCAGCACCAGGTCCTACCCCTTTGGGAGAACTGATTCTGACTGCAAGGCTAATGTCCAGGAGGCGGGATAATTAAACTGATGGGGAAGGGCTGGAGGAAGATCTTGATGACTTTACGGGACAGCGAGTGTCAAACCTGGCAGTCTAGATAAGCTAGCGTGGGTTAATATAGCGTGGAGTTGGGACGAGCACTGCACCCTGACAAGTGGGGGCTGCTGCACAAGGCTCTTTCACTTTCTCGCCTCCATTCATTCAATGGTTAGCTTTAAAATGTTGGCAAAAAATGTCTACTTGGAATTGTCTTCCCTTTTTAATGAAGGAACTTATACATTATCTTAGGAGATATAATGTTGGCGATGAGATCTCTATCATTTCTGCATTGTGTTTGGTTCTGTTTTTCACCTTGGTCATGATGTAATCTACAAATTTCATCTCGAGAGTAGTAATACTTGAAAATTATAGTATGAGCAGCTTTCAAAAAGTTCGTGGAAAGCAGCCAGTGTTGTGGTGCAGTGAGATAAGCTGTTGTCTGCAACACATGCTTCACTTTTTTTTTTTTTAATATTTATTTACTTATTTGAAAGGCGGGGTTACACAGAGGGAGAGAGAGAGAGAGATCTTTCATCCACTGGTTCGCTCCCCAGATGGCCACAGCAGCTAGGACTGGGCCACAGAGCTGTGCTGATCCAAAGCCAGGAGCTTTTTCTGGGTCTCCCACATGGGTGCAGGGGCTCACGGACTTGGGCCATCTTCTGCTGCTTTTCCAGGCCATCAGCAGGGGGCTGAATTGGAAGTGGAGCAGTTGGGACTCAGACTGGCTCCCATATGGGATGCTAGCACTGGAGGTGGTGGCTTTACATGGTGCGCCACAGTGCTGGGCCCATGCTCCTCTTCTGATCCAGTACTTTACTAATGTGCTGTGAGAAGCAGCGGAAGATGGTCCACTTTACTGGGCCCCTGCCAGCTGCAGGGGAGACCTGGATGAAGTTTCTGGTTTTGGGCTTCTGCCTGGCCCAGCCCTGACTTGTGCCCATTTGGGGAGTGAACCAGTGATTGGAAAATTGATGTCTCTCTCTTCCCCCCAGCCCCTCTCTCTGTCCCTGCTTTTCAACTAAACAAATCTTTCTTAAAAAGTTCTTGAAAAATGAGAATTATGAAAACAGTTATACATGGATTTCAAAATGATCTGCACCAAAAGAAACCTTTAATTCTATTTTACCCAAACTTGTTGAAGTACCCTTGTTTAGGTATTCCATACAAAAACAAATGGAGTATCAGTTATTAAATAGCCACGCACTAGATCCCTAGTCCAGATGGGCTCATCCAGAAGCATTTCTTCTTAGTAGTTCTGCCTGTTCACAGTTTTAGTCCACAGCTCTGCTCTTTACCAGAGGGAGCTTTTTACCACAACCATCTTTAAACCATACTCACATTTTATGGAGATTAGAATTGCCTGGACATAAGAATATGTAAAGACTCCATAAACAGAATTACTAAAATGTCATAGACTTATCCCATGGATCAGCTGGTTAGCATTTCTTTTTTTTTTTTTTTTTTTTTTTGACAGGCAGAGTGGACAGTGAGAGAGAGAGAAAGAGAGAAAGGTCTTCCTTTGCCGTTGGTTCACTCTCCAATGGCCGCCGCGGCCGGTGCGCTGCGACCGGCGCACCGCGCTGACCGATGGCAGGAGCCAGGAGCCAGGTGCTTTTCCTGGTCTCCCATGGGGTGCAGGGCCCAAGCACCTGGGCCATCCTCCACTGCACTCCCTGGCCACAGCAGAGGGCTGGCCTGGAAGAGGGGCAACCGGGACAGAATCCGGCACCCCGACCGGGACTAGAACCTGGTGTGCCGGCGCCGCTAGGCGGAGGATTAGCCTAGTGAGCCGCGGCGCCGGCCTAGCATTTCTTTTGATTAGTTACAATATGAGCATGGTCTTCGAATCAGTGATTTATCGCTTTCCTGGGGTAGGAATTGACCCTACAACTGGTAAATATTTTATGCCTTTCTCCAAAGTTAGCAGGATTTACCGGATGCAGTTGGGGCTCCTAGGTTCAGAAACGCTCTGTAGAAATTTTTGGGTTCTGTTACTGTGCTTGGAAGAAACTTAATTTTTAAAGCTCTTTGGGAGTTTTCATAAGAGAAACAGACACTGTTTTCTGCAAAGGGAGAGTGCACCATTAGTAGTAGGAAGGTGTGGGAAAGACACTTCTTATGAAATCAGTTTCCCGGTTATCTTCTTTTTTTTATTATTTTTATTTTTATTTATTTTTTTATTTTTTGACAGGCAGAGTGGACAGTGAGAGACAGAGAGAAAGGTCTTCCTTTTGCCGTTGATTCACCCTCCAATGGCCGCCGCGGCCAGTGCGCTTGAGACCCGCGCACCGCGCTGATCCGATGGCAGGAGCCAGGAGCCAGGTGCTTCTCCTGGTCTCCCATGGGGTGCAGGGCCCAAGCACCTGGGCCATCCTCCACTGCACTCCCTGGCCACAGCAGAGAGCTGGCCTGGAAGAGGGGCAACCGGGACAAAATCCGGCGCCCCAACCGGGACTAGAACCCGGTGTGCCGGCGCCGCTAGGCGGAGGATTAGCCTAGTGAGCCGTGGCGCCGGCCCCCCAGTTATCTTCATTTAATATGTTGGAAAACATAGGGGCAGATGTCAGAGAACTTGCTTTGAGCTGACAAGACTGGAGATATCTTAAGTTTATTTTTGATTTTCATCTTTTATTGAAAGTGAACAAATATATCACATTTCTACAGCATTTTATTTATCCACTGGCTTAATCTTTACTCTCTGTCAAGTGGTTTTTTTTTATTTGAAGATGTGACACATTTTAA